GCATTCCTAACAATTTTATATCATTCAAAAAATATTTATAATGAATCCATTAACTTTCTGCCACTAATAATAAAAAGATCTTAGTATTATTATCGTAAGCATCGCGCATGTGCCATAACGTTTGATTTATCATAATTCGGAATAAAGCTTAAATAAATTGCGTTCACCTGCGTAACATCTTTTTCTCGCTCGAAATTTATTGTCTGAAGTATTGTTTTCAAATCAGAATTATCTTTGCACAATTTGCGCGTTACGTAAACCTTTCATAATAAATTAGCGAAATATAATAGTTAATATCCGACATTGCGCGCGCGCCCTTAATTAGAAATTGGACGTAAATTAAAATTACGAGGAAAATATCCATTCTATTAGGATCGATCGTCAATCTCCCGGGAGAGATACGAGTTTATCGAATTTTTTTGCGATTGCGAACTAGAACCGCAAGCAGAGAGCTAACCGCGTAGAATGGAATTCGCTATCTCTCCACCAAGCCGAGAAATTGGAGTTATTCTCGCGCGGTTACGAGGGTCGTCGGAGATATTACGTAACCACCATCTCTCCGCTCTACGCGATTGCGCCGCATCTGCGCTGCTCGTTCCGAGAAACATCTTTCGAGGTTCTTTTATTTCCGTTTGTATGACCATTTCTTTTTCCGGTGCGTGGGCGTGCTTCTCCACGGGGAATCATGGGACGAGGAGGGTTGTGTTCCAACCACGAGGCTTCCCCGAGCAATTCGCCCGTAAATTACCTCGAGGCTTCCCGTGAGATATCGATAAATAAGCGTCATCTCGATGAACCGGCTGTAATATTTTATTAATAATCCGCTACGGAAGACCGCTTTAATTTCCACTGCACTGTTTCGGATCATTACGTGCGAAATTTTATATTATCGAAATAGAGCACGCTTTTTTCCTAGATAAAGCACGTTAAATTAAGTTAATTTAATCGCAAGTATTCAGGATTTTAACAATGGTAAAGTTATATCTTATAGAAATATATGGGTATTGATTAAGTATTAAATGTATATATATAATGTGTATTATAATGGGATGAAAGGCTGTTCCTTTATTTCGTTAGAATTGTCATGAGTTTTCCAAAAGCATTGAAATATGGCGAGAAAAGAAGAATGAGAAGATACTCTGTATTGATTTTTAATGATAGATTCTTCAAAATTTCAATTTTCTCTCAATTCAAGATCGATGAAAATTCTGATGTGTATCGACAAATAAACCTTTCCTCGTTGTCTAATTACATTCCTAACAACGTACTGGGAATTACTTTGATTTTACTTTAATTTCCGGCGTGCGTTATATCCATATCAAACCACGAGAAACTTTTCCAATATTCTTGGCACTGATGGTAATAACAGAATTGACGATGATTTCACATCGCGACGACGCTTATAGCCGCTATTACCGACTTGATTGATTATTTCGTTCATTACGATCACTGTACGTTGTAAGAAACACGCAGATACACACACTTTGTTGCATGACCGAGAGATATATACATGTATATTCAAATCGCTATTAACGAATGAGTCTCGCGAGACGGATCGAAGCAGCAACCGAGAACGTTAGTCGCCATATGATCTCTTTATTGCCGGACGGTGCTGGATCGTTGCTACTTTTAGACCAGCGATGCCAACCAAATGCTCTGCTTGCTGCGCAAAGTGCGCTTTGCACCATTACACTGAATCATCTTTTGGCAAGCGGAAAGTAAACGTAGATTTATAGATGTTGGTGTCGATATATTTTCGATATGGACCAAAGAAGAAACATCGACTCTAAATTTATTGGATAATTGTGATTAAATTCACAAGAATTTTAGGATAATCTATATAATGAAATTACATTCCCTTTATTCAGACCCTTCATTACAGGTAATTATACTCATCAGATTGTGGGCGTAACAAAATTTATGTGGATGATAAAGTTTCTTTGAGAGATATGTTTAATTGCTTGAGAAGCTTATCCTTTCGAGAGATCTGTTACGCAATATCATCGAATGTGCTATTATTGTAAAGAGACATGTTTTGAACAGATGCCAATGTTACGGTTATCGATTACCTAATAAAAACGTGTTTTCTAGTTCTATCAGTCTAGTGTGTCAATTAGAGATTTGAATCAAACAATTGCACATTGGAACGCTATATAAACTAATCTACACAATTTAAAAAAAATACTCACATTTAACTTACTGGTACTAAAACAAAAGACACTGATAATTCCGAGATATCACAAGTGTCTATAACTCTATAATAATCGTGTGATGTGTGTGTGTGTGTGTGTGAGAGACTTAGCTATAAAATTATAATAGAATGAAATATAATATACTGTCAATGCTTTTATTCGCAAATCTTTCATTAAATGAAGAAGATTTTACATTTCAAATATCAAAAATGGAAAATTTACTTTTAAATTTTATAGTATAAAAACTGTCTTAGGTGTATGGAGAAAAAAATACATTTTTAGCGTTTTGCACTAATCAATACATTCAATGATTTTGAATTCAATCGCAAATGCACGAATTCTTTTCTCGCAATGCAACAATTTCTTTAGCGTTTTAGTTATTTCAGATTTATTCTTCTTCACAATAAAAGTACTGTCTTGTATGCAAAAACGAGCATATTGTCATCTTTTTTCTCGGTTTTCAATTTTTTTTTCTTTTTTTTTTTTTTTGACGCATATATAGCGAGCACGCTTTTACGGCAACGTCCATCGATTTTGGATCTAATCGATAGTGTGTATGAATTGAATAAGCCGTATCGTGCCACAGGCAATAGCACTCTTGTGCAATATCCGCACATCCGGGGGTCCGATATCTGATAGGGGTCGTCGATATCTCACCGTTCCAAACTTTGAAATTCGTCATCATGTGCACACAATGCGCATGCAATCTCTATGTTATCAGAGGTAGGCGCGCGAATCAGACACAGTTTCGCGAATTCGGATCTAATGCAACTGACAACCGCGACCGTATAACTGAAATCATTATGCGCAGCTCGAAACGTATACATAATAATATGCGTGATACGTTATAAATATTAATCCGAAATAATGAGAAGCGTCATTAACTCTAAATCACTATCAGATATTTGTTTACGCGATTTGAGAATATGTTTGTACCAAATGTACATTGACATGATATATATCCCGAATTTCTTTCTAATTACAACGCAAAATACAATTTGCGTATCTTTGAATTTTAATTTTATTGAGAGATAATATTAAACAAAATATACATATATATTTTGCCTCTCTGAAATATTATTATTTTCATTATCAAAAATTAATTTTTGAGTTGTAATTATACTTAGTATACAATAATTGGTTTCTAATAATACATTTTCAATAAAACCGTTATTATTCGAATATTTAATATACTGTTAATACAAATTTAATAATTAAATTTTAGAGACCAAATTAAATTTAATTTCTAGAATAAAAAATCTATTTTTCTTCTCAAATTTAACGTTGTGTGGGATAATTTATATTTAGAACCATAGATTACCAAATTGCAGAATGCAATCAATTGTCGCATAGAATACTAAATTTAGTTATTAATAAATATATTAATTCTTGTGCACAGTATTTTTATGTTATTATCAGAGTATAGTTTTCTCTCTTTCTCTCTCTTTCTTTATAATATTTATTACAATTTAAATTTATGTGAAGAGGAGATCCCCTTAATGATGCTCAACAACTAGGATTATGTTCGACTGTCATACATAGACAGTATCCTAACACTCGAGTATCCTAATTCGGACGCTTTTGGGCGACTAATGTGTTGGCGTTATGCAGGGAACGTGTTATCGCGTTGCTCCTGACCTCTGACCTCATTTTGGCATATGGGCTTAAAGTAGCACTGGGCGCACGCGTTAGAATATCGCACATATGTCGTTTCCTTGAGAGTTCAAGGATTCCCGATAATTCTTCGTGATTCTTTGCAACGTGTTAAATACTTTTGTTCATCCTCCTTTTCCTTCGTCAAGTTAAGAAAAAAATTAAAATTACATAGATTAGATATAAGCAAAATATAAGCAAAAACTATTAGTTATGCATCTTTGAGTCTCTTTAGAACTTCTCATCTATCCGGAAAAATTGTTTC